TTTTGATTTCCCACCAATACTCTCTATTTCTGCACATTCATGAATAAGATTATGTGATGCAAGGTTACCCGGTCCACTATCGGATTTGATTCTTAGGCAAATGGACATTCATCCTCAACGACTACATCTACGTTGTCTCGGCGTCCTATGATCTGGCGTTCGTTGTTTGCTATATAGTTGCAACTTCTCCGTCAACAGCAGGAACGATCACTCATCCTAATCGGCAGTTGTTGTGTCCTGAGGATTAGGCAACAGGAGAATTTTTCAGCAGACGATATTATAACTACAGCGGAAGAGATACGTTTATGTACCCCTTCAGCGGGTCAGAATTTCCTGTCAAACTAGGCAGATCTGACAGAGCATCATATTGAATACCGTCATATGTATGTGAGATCACGCGTCAGCACTCACTACCTCCACTTCGTGACTCTGTGACTCGAAAACAAGCAAGCTAAACTCGTGGCTTGCTGAGAAGAGGATTCGACGGATCACTAGTGAGTGGTGCGAGCGAAAAGTTTCTGTAAAGAACGAGATCCCGAGCGCCTTCTTTTCCAGCTCAGTGGCTAACTAAGACTGGGGCAGTGTGGCTCAACATATAACGTGTCGCCGCGCAATAAGTAATTAGGCCACAATTGCTCAGAGGACGATCTCACAATATGGGGTACACTATAGTTCTCTGCGGACGGTTGGGTGTCAGCCAGTATGAGTGTGTCACCCTATCAAAGCCGTTCTCTGCCTTCTTGTTGAAGAGCGTCTGCGACAAAAAGTGGTAGAAGACTAGTAATACGAAGGATATGATACAGTATTGTCACTTGCCCGCTTCAACAACTGGTGTAGAACGAGTTTGGCACCGCGCCAAGCGCAGCCGCACGGAACCGTCCGCAGCGAACTATACTATACTTCATCGCTAATAGGCGAAAGCAGGACGACTCTATTGAAGGGGCCGCTCAGCATTGATAAGTGACGTCAATCCACCACATAGAATAGTCGGGAACCGAGCAATGGTAACGGACCGTCCAGCGGTGAGTTTCTATTCTTTGCACGTTTGCTGTCCATCGACATATATCCTGAACCTCCAAACCAAACAATGCCTCTCTTATAGTCAGCAAATGTAATGTTTTCAATTTCGAATCAATGCCTTCATGATCCATTCATCTTGGAAGATAGAATAAGAAGGCGGTTGCTGAGTAACATCACTCATATTATCTTTCGTACTTGTGATGACCGGCTGTGCTACATTATGGTGAGCTTCTTAGTTCTGGGGTAGGCTTGTTCCTTCACCTACTAACATAGATCAGACGTTTCCTGCTCCAGTCAAGGATGCCAACTTAGAAGGGTACGTTACAGGTATATGCTGGCGATTACACTACTAGTTGGAGTTGCTACTCGCTCGACATTTGTTTTGAGTTCTATCTGTGTTACTCCTTTTGCACTGACAGTGCTGTTTCTTATGTTTAAGAATACACCTGTTAATAATCAAGACGTATGTTCTTATTCCAAAAGTTGCATGTTTTACCGTTCCCAACACCTTCATCAGGCGGCTTGCAGACTTTGTGATGACGCGCTACATTGCAGCGGCGCTCCAGTGCTACAGGCGGGAACGCTGCCATAGAAAGTTATAGATTGACGTCCGCCGTCAGTGTTTTGGGAGAGCGTAGGAGGGGCAGCACCAACCCACTGGTTATCCTTTACCCTCTCAAAGCTCTAGCACACACAGTGTCGATCAATAGTGTTCAGCAAATACCAACCATTCTATATCCTTCGGTTGTGTTATCTGGTGCTTCGTACGACGACCGGTCGGTGACTGATCTCGCCTATAGCATTGGAGTGTCATGCAAATGTGGCGCGTTGTAGCGTGACGAGGTCCGTAGTAGCGCATCAACGCGCGTCATCGCGTACTCCGCGCACTGTCTAGATAAGCGCCCATCGTCGTACTAAGTGAATATCTATGTTGATGCCTTCAAAAGCAAGCTGATAAGAGAAACAGCTTTAGCAATAGATCAAAAATATGTTTTCATGCTACCCATAAATTTGCTTTTTGAAGAAAGCAAATTTCTTCGCTGGATTGAGGATGGGTGGTCATCGAGGGTCCCCGTACGAAGCACCAGAAAACACAATAGAAGGATTCGGAATGGTTGGTCTTTGTCGATTTTGCGTTTCAGATATAAGCAAGCCACCAGGGGATCGGAGGACATAGCACCATCACCCTCATCTCAACATAACCGAATGGTGTGGCAGTTTTCAGATTTTAAGCCGATTTGTGAGCAAGTGTAAACGTTGGCATGCCTGCTTTTGGGTTTGTGGGCTTGCTAGAAGATGTTCGTGTGAAATACAAATTATAAGTCCAGAGCGTGCTGATGGTTTGGTAGGGTTACACTAGCCAGGCGCGAAGACCCATGCAACGTTCTTGGTACACCGACGCCGTTCTTGTACAGCCTACGTAGTAGTTCTTGCATACAAACACGGGGTTGTTAGCATGGATGTTCGACGCCGCTCCCGGCTCATGACGGGCTCAATGTCTCGCCCATTGCCTTAAACAACAATCAACGCTCATTTCCGAATGCTTGTTGATGAAGAGAAATCTAGCTTAAAATTACCACTAACAGGCTGAAGAAACGGCAAAACATTGAACATCAATCCGCTACGACATTGAGACTGTGCAAACGGATTCAGTACATTAGGCCCGCTGATCTGGGTGTGATAACATGCGGGGTCGCGTAGGAAAGGGAACAAGAGGCTGCTGAGATCGAAGAACTGGTCATATTATGACTTAGAAGGGGCACATCACTACTTCAGCGACAGCGCGGTTAACTCCGACACGGTTTCAAACAGGAAATCAGACAGCATATGGTTCATTATTCTCTAGCAATTAGGAAATGAGAAAGGCGTGTCCTCTTTGCAGGCCAAACAGTCGAAGTGTGAGTTCGTGGAGTTCGACGTACACTTGTCAGCAGATGGCGTGCCCGTACTGATTCATGATGATTCTACCGGCCGCACTTCCAAGGAGGACGTGCTGATCAGACAGAAGACTGCTAAAGAAATTAAGAACATACGTTTGAAAATAATCAGGTATTCAAATTTGGCCTGAAATCAATTCGTAAAAGAAAGTGCATGAGAAGGCTGCGCAATCCTATCGTGCGAAAATGCTTTTGCTATATATCGCTCCATTCCGAAGCACCAGCTTATACTTCGGTTTCTCGGTCTCTACATATAAGCTAATTCGCTGCCGATGAAGAGGCCATGCAGTTTGACTGTGCCACGGATCCCCCCCCCCTTTTCTGCTAGTTGTGTACGCGAATGTGCGACATGGATCGGTAGAAAACGTCTAATACAAACGGCACAATGCAATCTTGTCACTTGCTTCATTCAACAGCTCGCGGTGAACGGCTTCGGCAACGCGTGAAGCTCATCTCGCCTGATATGCCCCTCGTCTGCAGCGAACCAGACTACATGTATGTAGCATGTATGTGTGTATGTATGTATGTGTGTACAGTTGATATCATCGCAATCTGTCGGATCGCAATTAGCGGTCGCGCCCTGCGGCATTGCCACCACTGGTTGTTTTCCCTCTGAATCGACCACTTTCCGATCGTTAGTGGTAGAGCAAGGCAGTCGCGCGCGCTCAGCCGCTTTGCGCTCATTGCCCCCGACAAATCGCTATGTTACAAACTATATGTATGTATATATGTATGTATGTAAGTTTGTATTACTCTACTGTATGAATGATACGTACCTTGTACTGGCTATACAGGGGCGGCGCTCGCAACTACAATAAACACATCTTTGAAAGGACGTGAGATATTGCCACCGGTCACCAGGCGGAGATTACCACGATGTATCCTCCTATTAAGCAGGAGCTGGCGCTGCTCCCGGTCGACCTCAGTGCCTGATACCGTCAAAAAATATGAAGCCGATCGCCAGTCGCAGCCCTTTAGCTGGGGAGAAATGACACTTTGGAAATTCATGTCACCCTCCAACCAAGGCCTTGGCGAAACTTTCTAGTGTCGCGCGGCACCCACGCGAAAACTACCTGGAGAACTGTGCTCTTGATCTGAAAGACCTCCAACATCGAGCGGCTTCGGCAACGTCGCTACGGTCTAGGACATCATCTCCGCACCACCGCGTCGCCAAGGCCGACGTCGGTGATGGTATGAGACACGGTTACCTGAATCCGGAAACCGATATTTCTTCGTGGGATTCCGGAACTGACGCGCGAGCAGAAGGCGATTTCATCGAGCAACTCGAAAGAATTATCACCCACAATTTCGTCGTCCCGGTACCTTATTGGAAATTTGTTACTGCTGACAGGAATGGGTGACACCACATGAAATTGAAAGGCGTTTGGAAAAACTCTCCTACTCGGAATGGAAGGGCGTTAAGTACCTGAAGAAGGTGGAATATCTAAGCAGGTCACCTGACTTAAACCCCCTCAATTACCTGGTTCGGGCGGACTCCATTAGGGTGGTCTACAGTGGCGGAGAAATCAAAATGAAATAAATAATCAATGATCCCGCTGAACTCAGGCACCCACTCACGGTCACGTGGCAGAATCTCTCGATCTAGCCTTCCCCCTCCAAATAGCCGTGCGGAGTATCGTAATAGTAAACTATAATATGCTCTGTTAAATGGTGGTTAAAGGGGGGGGGAAAATGTCCTTCAAAAATTTAATAAAGTGTAACTTATAGCGCCTCGAAAGCCAAGAAAGAAAAGTCTTTTTGGCCTCTCCTGTATACCTGATCGCAGACCGTGGCTTTTACTCTTGGAACCAAAAGCAAAACAAACAATGTTTACATTTATTCTATTAAAGTTTGAGATCGGACAATACCGTCGGGTAAAGCTCACATAGTTGGCCCGTATTGCAATGAATATTGGCGGAATCATCGGCAACTGTGCTAATATCATAAGATTTGAAGATAACGAGAAAATACATAATGGAAACAGTTTGACGAGAACCATGAATGATAGCGAGATGAACGAAACAGAGAGGGAGTATCGAGTATCGGAATCCGTCGAGGGCGATGATGATCGGCTGATTGAGTGGACCTAGTGTACCGCACAGTCGAAGCAGTCACACTGAACGGCGCTTGGAATTTTAATTGGCCGTGGACCATCGTCACACATGCAGTTTCGAGCCTGTGTGCACTCGACAATATTTTCTTGAGATTGCGAAAGTAGAAATGATTGTTTGGGCGAGGTTCGTGTAGGCACCACCGTGGCCTGTTCAATTAACATGCCACTCATTGATGAGCCCAGCGTCCGCATCATTGAGCCATGGTGAGCTTTCTGTGCTGAGGGGGCGCGGCTGCATTTGGCTGCGGTTGCAAAAGTCGTTGCTTCGGCCAGGTTTTGGAGGAACCTAACAAGTGCCATTACGTATTCGTATCGTTTTCCTACCAACTTTTTGTCGCATACGCGTTGCAACAAAAGCTGAGAACGGCTTCAACAGTGTGCGCACTCCTTCTGGCTGACACGCCCCGACAGTCCGTAATGAAAGCTTGCACAGGCTAAGGGCGTTGGAAAACTCGAAACGCGTCGAAGGGCGTTGGAAAACTTTCGCCTACCTGGAATGGAAGGGCGTTGAGTTCCTGAAGAAGATGGAATATCTAAGCGGGTCACCTAACCTGAATGCCTGGTTCGGGCGGAGTTCGATAGGGTGGTCTACAGTGACGCAGAATTCAACGATCTCGCTGAACTCATGCGCCGAACTATGGTCGCGAGTCTCTCGATGACGGTGGTCCAGAAGGCTATGGCGGAGTATCATGATAGTATTCAATATGCTCTTTAATGTGGTCTCAAGAAGGTCCAATCAGAATTCAATAAAATGTAACTTATTGCGCCTCGAATGTCAATGAGGAAAAGTGCTTTTTTTTATTGCCCGCCCTGTATATGTATGGTGCTCATCATTGCAGACCGGTGGGGCGGCGCGTGTGACTCGGCTGTGACGCGACTGTCATCACAGCCGAGTCACACGCGGCGCGGCTCACCCGCCCCACCGGTCTGCAATGATGAGGACTGTATGTATGCATGTATGTATTTATGTATGGCATGTATGTATGTATGTATGTATGTATGTATGTATGTATGTATGTATGTAATAAGTTTGTATGTATGTATGAATGTATGTATGTATTTATGTATATACCAGTCGGATCACCCGGCTGTCGCCGGGTGCTCCTCCTTTATCACGGCCCGGCTTCGCCGGGCCGGCCTGGCTTCGCCAGGCACTCTTTCTTTAGGCGAGGTAGAGTGTGCAAAATACGCCAGAACCGTCACAGTCATTTTCCAGCAAAATGTAGAAAAATAATTGAAAATAGCTCGAGCAATGGGTTTGAACCGGCGCTATGATATTCGTGTAAAGAGACAGACGCACACGCACGTGTCCCAATGTAGCGCTGAAATCTATCCTTTGGTCCACTCTTTTCTCGGAGTTAGTACCAAAAATCTCCATAACCTCACACGAAAATTCAGCAACCTGTTAGAGCAGCCTTTGAAGCATCCTACCGCTTGATGCGTTCTCCACTACTGCAGGTTTCTTTTTCTGGAATGCACTCCCGCATTCGGCAGTTTAAACGCTTCGAATGGTCCTCTCTCAGATTGTTGATGAAAGATAGTCATAGACATAGTGATAAAGCCAGTTGCTGCAGTTCATGCCAACTGAGTAAACAACCGCCATGCTTCTGAACTCCAGTTGCTTTAGCGGCCGTACATGATGTCAATAACGATAAAGCCCAGGAGTGAGTTGTGTGCGAACTACTGGGAGCCTGATACCTGGATCATATCAATCGCATAGTGGATGTAAGCGGTGTTGCGGATTTCCGCATGATGAGGTTTTCATTTCTTATCAGTCACTTCGTCTCACCCGTCAGTGGGTGTCCGCCCCTCCCCCTATACCACTTCTTGGAGCCAAGGTCCCATAGATCTGCAACCTGCCCTACGAATTTGGTGGCCCGCAGCATCTCAGGTCCCTTATCAAATCTTATCATATGTTATTAGATTTTGTCACCCACCCCGTCCCTCCTGTATACCATCTCGGAACCACGGTCTCAATTCACTGCAGCCGATGTTAGGAATTGGGTGACCCTCCGCGTCTAAGGTCCCCTTATCAAATCTTATCAGGTGTTATCAGCTTCTGTCACACACCAATCATGTCCACCCCCTTTCCCCTACACCACTTCTCGAAATCAATGTCCCACGGTTGCTGCAACCTGCGCTAAGAATTTGGTGACACCCGTCTAGGGTCCCTTATCGGATCTTATCAGATGTTATCAGCTCCTGTCAGCCCCCATCTACGGCATATCACTGCTTGAAACCAAGGTCCCGCAGCTGCTGCAACTTGCCACGAATTCGGTCACCCTCCCCTTCTAAGGCCCCTTATCGAATCTTATCAGGTGTTGTCACCTCCTGTCACCCACCAAAAGTGTTCCCGTCCTGCCGTGTATATCACCTCTTGAAATCAAGGTCCCACGGTCGCTGCAACCTGCGCTACTAATCTGGTGATCCTCGGCGTCTAAGGCCCCTTATCAAATCATATCAGGTGTTATCACCTCCTGTCACCCACCAAAAGTGTTCCCGTCCTGCCGTGTATATCACTTCTTGAAATCACGGTCCCGCAGCTGCTGCAACTTGCGCTACGATTTCGGTCACCCTCCCCTTTTAAGGCCCCTTATCGAATCTTATCAAGTGTTATCACCTCCTGTCACCCACCAAAAGTGTTCCTGTCCCAACCCCTATATCATATCTTGGAATTAACTTCCTAACGCTACTGGGACCGGCGCTATGAATTTCGTGACACACACACACACACACACAGACACACTTAGCGGATTATATATAGTAGGATATATATGTATGTATGTGTGCCAATTACAAGTGTATTGTAAGGGAACTGGCAAAAAATGCAGAGAGAAATGTAGATAAAACGGCAATGCTCTAACTTAGTTTGTTGGTGTGCGTGGCGTCTAGGGCACATCTAGGGCGCCGAAGCAAATGTGACAACGCTGCTCAATTAAGTGGTGTAGAGTATGAACGGGAGCCCTCAGGATGGATGACAGTAAGCGCTGTGATAACCGAAATAGGCTAATAGGGGTC